GACCTCCTCAGCGCTTTGTGCCGATCTCAGATAGGTTGCAAGGCATCAGCTGCAAGGATGCCTCGTCTACCTGCAGAAAGTCCTGGGAGTTACTGCAAACTGACTTGGTGGTAGGTCCGGGCTGTCATCCGATGATGAGGCGGGCATTGCTGCGAAAGTGCTTTGTCCAGTGCGACGCCAGCAGCCAAACCCAAGCGTCCAGGAACCTGAGAGGCGAAGGTGCCTTCCTCGGAGAAGTGTAGCTTACATCTGCCGTTGCATTGCTGCATGTTCACGAAGATGCCGGCAAGATTGTACACTGCCGGATGCTTTTACAAGCTAGTTACGGCTAGTTGGCTACGCTCAACTTACACATCAGGCACCCGATCAGAAGTACGGCTACGTTTTCCTTGCCGCAGTATTTCCAAATAGTACAAGATTCAGAGTACATGGCGTTCCTTTGCAGAAAGAGCTGGCCACACTTTTTTCAAGTCTTCGTGCACTACACCCTTCGTGGTATAAGTTGATGGGAAGATTTGGATGTCGTCAAGCCTGATCTGAACCTTCTCAGCTTCAGGCTGCCGGGCCACCTTGGGTTGCTTTCAACGCATGAAGGAGATTCGATTCGTATACTTCAAAGGTAGCGACCTCAGCCAATTTCATACCTTGAGCAGCCTTCATCCGGGATCCTGTTCTGACCATCTCTGACCCAGGCGCTTGCCGGGCAAAGGCGGGCACAGTTGCACTTTATCACACAATGGGTTCATGCATGGCTTCATTCAAACGCGCAGCAGAGTTGCACCGGCACGCGGCTGCAGGAAGTTGGAAGTTTTCAAAGGGCAACAGCGGAATCAAGGTGGCAAGATGGTGCGTGGGGTGTATGAAGCAGTCCCCCTTTGCCTCAAGCATGGATTGCTAAGCAGAGACTGCTATTATGTCTCAGTAGCATCACTGGAGGGCATGTATCTGCGTGGCAATCAAGTACATTCCCGGGTGCGTTGGAGCTTGTCCCTAAAACCTGTACTGCGGTGGCTAGTTTGTGGCTTGGAGGCAGCTATCCACGAATTTTGCCGCGAGAAGGAGAAGGAGAAACACTCACAGCACCCATTGCTCTGACAAGACAACCTGCCTCCGTGGACACGCGAGCAGTGCATCGTGTGGAGGATCGGCTGAAAGGACGTCTGTTGCGAATCATGCGCAACGACTACAAGACTGGCCGCCGCCCTGAGAACTGCAAGCTTGGTGTCAAGACAGTCAGTGGACATGGACATCTCCTGTGTCCTGACGGGGTGCAGAAAACCTCTTAGGGAGTGCGACTCTTGACGACGATGACAGCGAGGAAGATTCCGAGGAGTACTGGCAGGAACCACCGCAAGAGGCATGTGCATTCAGGTTGGCAGCAAGAGGTTGCTAGATGAACATACCATGCCAGGTGCGGGTTGTGGCCCAAGTGCGAAACTTGCCCAAGCAGCTCGGGGCACAGTGATCCCGAACTGCATGTCTTGCCATTTGATTGGCCTTCCGCCGCAGCAAGCCAACCCAACCCAAACCATCATCAGACCTTGCCTGGAAAACCTGCTCTGCGAGGCTCAGCAAGGAAGAGCTGCAGCGACTGGATCAGCTGCTGTGGCTTGGCTCACACACTTGCCTGAAACAGTCACGTGATCTCATTTCCATGTTGTGGATGTTTGTCTGTTCGACCTTCAAGGTAACCGTTACTCTGCGTACCACACGCAGCAAGTAAACCCAAATTACCGAAACGGCCTCCGCAACTCCCAGCCGTGCAGGGAGCCATGTTCTTGCATAGGGGGAAGGGTGTGCGGACAGCCTGAGTAGTCCTGTGATGTCCTGTGTGTTTCTGCGCAGCTTGCATCAAAAACGCCAGCCTAGCAGAGTGATTGTGAGAGTGAGGCTGACGCTTAAGGCTTAATGTCCAGAACAAGACTTTGATTGAGGATTGGGCATAGAGCCAGAAGCATCATGAAATCGTCCACACTATCTTGCAGTGCCTGTTCGACGTCGGCATACTGCATCGTCCAAAGCCCCTTCGAGACATGCAAGGCTACTGTTTCGGTCCAGACATAAGCAATGCCAAATAAAAGGTAAGATTCAATTGAATCGCCTCCGCATGCATGCTTTGACGTTAACACTTCGCAAACTCAGCGGCTAGACTGCAGAGTCCCTTAGCTTGTGAAGGCCAAGTCTGCCATCGAGCGACCCCCAGGCAGGGAAGTCTACCAAACAGCAACATGTGCAGTGATCAAAGCCTAGAAGTAGCCGGCTTGCAGATCACTTGATCTGATGCAGGTGTCAGTAGCGGAATCGCCGCAAGGACTAGGGTGGCAGCCTCGGGAAGTCATTTTACTGTTTTCCTGGAAAGGCCTTTGTTGCCGGCCAACGGCAGTCCAGTCATGCTGTATGGCTTCAACATGCTTCAACCACGTGTACTGTATACCGTATAATTAGAAAAGAACTCGTTGAAGCTGCTCTTATGTGGTTTGAGGCAAGCGCTGCAGCGCAAGTTCCGGAGACTCACACAGGCGCTGTAGCTGCAGACTCATTCTCTGTCGCAGCATCTTTTTCTCAAAGTCGGGTTGTTATGTCAAATCAAGCTGATTGAAGGGCGAGTGCCGTGCGAACATGCTCGTGAGGTGAACTGAAGAAAGCAACTCCATGGCAGTTTGCACACGGGGCGGGGTCTTCTGCGGCAGGTGCCCTCGCGCCGAAAAGGATTGTGATACGTAGATTAGATTGTACATACATGGCCGCTCATCAAGTAGATGACTGGCGCATGGACAAGAAATATTCTGGTCCAGCCTTCTTGGAGCAGAAGCAGAAATCACTGCTAGAATCTGCTATGTTAATGTGAGGATCTCACCAAGTGAGAGTGATCCAGTGGTCTTCGCAGTGGCATTGGCTTTGCACAGCCTGATCTGCCACTCTGACTAGAATAGATAAGCATTGTCCAAGAGATGGGGCCGGGCAGCCTTAAACTCTGAAAGAGCGGCAAGATGCTGTGCATCGCCTGGGGCTGCATTGCTCTGGGAATGATCAACAACGCCTGGCCAACTCAGGACCGCTTCCTTGGCTGTGATCACATTCCGAGTGCTTTGTTCCCACAGATGCCGAAAGTAGCGAACTAGCCAGCAGTAGCAGCAGCAGCAGCAAAAAGTCGTTCTTAATGCGTCGCATCTGCCACGCACAAGGCTGTCATGTAAACTATTTGGAAAGCATCGTGGCTGGTCGGCTTCCTGCAACCTTCAGAGAAGAGCTGGGACGCCTTGGAGGTTGGGAGGTTCTGAGGTTCTCAAGGGTCTGGCCATGGGGGCTGGGAGGCTCCGGGGAGCTGGGGAGGCGTGTGTGAAACAACTTTCAGGATCAAGGGGTGGTCCGGGGTTCTCTGGGCCCTTCAGCCTTGGGGTGCCCGAAGAATGGTAGCATCAGAATATGAAATTCCTGCGTGTGTTTGCTTGGCCCCAAGGCCTATGAGTAGCAGGGATTCTCCGCTGAGTGAGAGTCGCAAATAGTTTACCCGAGTCTGGTTTCTTGTTCTATAAAATTTCGTGCGGTAGACTCCGACCAGTTGTTCTGCTTGCTGAAGTTCAAGTGAGATTCTCAGGCACAGCATCAAGCGCTAGCGACCCGAACTGCGAAAGCTCCGTGACAAACGGCAGGACTGATGAAAGAAGCAGCTTCCAGGTTAGGACAATGTCGCACCTTGACTCGTGACTTGATGCAAAAATTACGTATCTCTGCTGGGATTTGTTCATGTTGTGGGGAGCGGCGTGTCAGCAACGGGATACCCGAGAGACGAGGAGACGGCAGCATGTTTCATGGGCAAGATTTCAAAAACAGAAACACGATGTTTTGCTTCACCATTGGTTGATTGCTTTCATGATGTCAGCCACGTACATGTGTGTACTTGGGCCATTGCTTTGCGCTTGCAGTTGGTCAGCAAGCAGCCGTGCGAGCGCATACCACAAGACGTCCTACCAGAACCGTGCCGCGAAATGCTGCGAAATTACCGCAGACCTCTTGCCTCGATCACCATTTCCTCCTCCAGAAAGATTCAGAAAGCACTGGCGCTACACAGTTCATCTGCCTTTGGGACACCGCAAGACGAGTGGTGCTCAGAAGTGTAGCTTTTGATTTTGCCACCTGTGGCCGCCTGTCCAATGTGTTGGCGCAATACAAGCTGCGTAGATGGAGGTAAGCATGATCACTGTCGGTGACGTCCTGCTAGTTTCACAACTGGCCTTCAATCTGAAAGTGCTCTATCTCGCGGGCCCACCGTGTCTGGTGCACATTCGTGTTTGACATGCCAGTTGGCATGTTGCGTTCGTTCTGGTCGTCTCTGCCTTGTTGGAATGTGCATAGTGTTCGGACGCAATGGTGGGAGGTGGGTGCAATGTGTGCTTTGACCCTGAGAGAGACATTTGAAGAGTGAGACTACGATAAGTGCGGACTGCATTTCGGGCTCGCAGGTGGGCATCTGGCATTTGAGTCGTTGTTTCGAAAACCTACACTGAGCTGCTCATTGGCACTTGGCCTTCACATGTGCCGCATGATGCCGCATGATAATCCGATTCCAGTGCTTTGCAGTTGGGGCGCCCTTAGCTCATGACACTTATGACACCTCGAGGTCCTTGTCGCTTCAACATGTGATTCGTGGCTTTGCTCATTGCCTCCGGTGTGGCGATCCGTCACGATCACGAGCAGCCTCTTGAAGATGCAGAATCCCAGACAACTGTGCAAAGCCCACAAAATTGAAGTGGTTTGCTGACTTACTTGGCTTTCATGTCATCTGAGACGACCCTGCATGTTTCAATTGGAACAAATGCTTTATGTTCATGCAAAAGCACGAATCCAGTTCGGTTGAGCAACATCTTGCAAACAGTCATTCTATTCTTGCTACAGCAATGCATGACTGGCCTGCTCCAGTCAGAGGTGTTTTCGGCCAGGTTTGACACAAAGGGCTCGGACACAAAAGCTTTGCGAATTGCGCCATGAATTCATCTGAGGTCTGTTCCTTTCTGTTGGAATTGCTGCGCAACTTCCAAATGCTCCAACAAGACCCACAACACTCGCTACTTCGGAAAGGCAGAGTTCCTTGAGTGCGAGCCAGTCCCAGGCGTTTACAAGAAAGAAGGAGTCCTGTCCGGGAGGAACGGCGTATGAGCAAGTCAACAGAAAAGCAGCTGAGGCAGTTATTCCCAAGTCCGGCTCCATCTACATGGGGGTTGTCCGAAAACCCT